CATTGCAGCAAGAAATCCTTCAACTCCTTCATAATCCTTCCCTATACACCACTGTCTTCCTTAACCCTCAGAGCTGAGTACCTCACATTTTATTTCAGCCCACGAACTGAGGCCATTTTTGGCCATTCACTGAAAGCTTCTTTTTCTCCCCTTCTCATCATGTCTACCATTATTCTTCACTATCTCCTTCATTCACTCTAGTGTGTGACAACCACTATACTTTTTGGCAAGATGACTCATTCCACATATTCCATTGATTTCATCTACTCTCATGTTTTCTAGTAGATCACCCTCTATTGGCATCCCCTCTTTCCTTCTAATGTTCAGTCTTACCCTACCTACTGGATTTTTTCCATGCTGACTACAAACATAACCATATCTCCCCCATCCTTAAAAAAACAAACAAAAACCTTCAATAGATCCTACTACCCCACTAGCTATTGTTGTCTATGTCATGTTTTAAATTTAATTTAATTTGTAAATTATTTTATTTCTAAATTATATTTATACAAAGTAACTCCATTTTATCTCCTCTCACTTCTAAACTTTCTGCAGTCTAACTTCTGACCCAATCATTCAACTGAAACTGTTTTTTTTCCCTGTCATTACCAAGGATCGCCTAATTGTCAATTCTACGAACATTTCTCAATCTTTATTTGTCTAAACTTTTCTTCAGCATTTGATGTAATTGACCACTTTCTCCTCCTAGATACTTTTTTTACTCCGGGTTTTCAAGACTGTTGTCTCTTTGTTTTCGTCATATTTTTGAGTGTTCCTCAGTCTCCTTTGATGAATCTCCTTCACTAATTATGGGTGTTCCCCAAGGCTCTGACCAGGACTTTCTTCTCTTTTCCCTCTATTTATTCCCTTTTGGCAATCTCATTGGATGCATCTTCAATGGATGCAATAATCAGGTGTTGTTGTTTTTTTTTAGGGGGGGTAGATAATGTCCAGATCTCTGTCTCTCTGTCTCTGTTCCCCTCCCCCCACAAAACTCCTTATTACTTTTAGGATAAAATATAAACTCATTTTTGGGCAATTTTTCTATGCATTTTTAAATAATGTTACATTTGAAAAGAATAATTTTGATGTGGTTGGTGGTATTAGATGCAAATATCAACTAGAGCTTTAGGTGAATTTTCAAATCTATTTCCCCACAAGCAAGTGACCTTCTTGTAAGAGCCAATTGATGAGAGAAAGCTAGTTTACAGATATGTTAAACTTGGAACACAAAAGAAATTACCATTTTTATAGATCATGAGAAACTATTTTTATCCAAGGGAAAAAAAAAGCAGAGGTTTCATATTCAAGAAGAAGTCACAGCAGCAGACACTCAATTAAACTGAAATATGAGCTGAGGTTGAAAGGACATGAATATTTAGCTGTAGTTTGCCTTTGTGGAACATCTACTGAATTTCTAAACTGACCCTTTATTCTAGTGTTTAGTGAACCAAATTAGTGGTAATGTTGCATATCAAAAAGTTCTTTCCATTGTATGTTCTAGAAGTGATTTGAAAAGTTCTTTACATTTGAGCTCATAGTACCTATGAAGTTATAATAAAAATAATTTTATAAGTTCCCTTTAGTGTATGGCAACTCAATACAAAATATTTTTTCTGCTAGTATTTCAATTCTTCAAAAGCTCCGTGATATCTTTGATGTGGATACTATTTTTGCCTCAGAGATCTTAACCTCTCCATGCCTGGGAATAAGGTACAGTACTTATTCACAGAATTATACAGTCTCAAAATCTCAGAGTGGGAAGACTCAGATCTGAACAAAAAGCCTCTTTACCTAGCAACTGGTCATCCTGTTTTTGTCTGAAGTTCTACACCAGCGGGAAAATTTATTACATGCTGAGGCAGGCCATTCCACTTGCAATAATTCAAATTATGAAGAAGCATTTCTTTATATTAATTCTAAATTTGCCTCTGCCAAATCTGCTAATTGTTGTAGTACTGCCTTCAGACAACAAGAAGGAAAAATCTGAATCCCTCTTCAGCTGCTCCTAGTTCTGCATTCTAGTGCCAAGTAAAACTAATCTGATTTGTCTTCAAAGGGACATCTCTTCTGATTCTTGGCTACAGCTATCATGGTCCCACTATTTCTTTTCTTTTCCATGCTAAACATCCTCACACCTATCAATTTTCCAATGGTATATTCTTAAGGCTTTTGAGTTATATCAATGTCCTTCCTAAAATGTGCCATCCAGAATTAAACCTAACATTTCAGATGTGTTCTGTCCAAGTTGAAGCACAAAGGGACTATAACTTTCCTAATCCTAGATACTTGTCTAATTAAAGCTTAAGGTTTAATTAGCTTTCTCAGCTGATAAATTTCATTAAAACATTTGTTAAAATTTTATGTAAACTGTTTCTACAGTATCCTCCTGATCTTTCAGTCCAATCACCCCATCATATAAAAGTAGTAAGGTTGTTCTGGGATGATTTATTCTTTATAAAATCATTCTATTTGCTTTTTTTTTTTTAAGGTTTTCACCAAACATCCCTTTAAAAATGTTTTAGGATTTTTCAAGGGATGTAACTCAAGTTCATTAACCTATGCTTTCAAAATCTATTCTTTTTTCATTTTTAAAAACTGGAGCAATGTTTGCCCTTCCCTGCTTATATGATATCTCCACCATTCTCCACAGTCTGCCAAATATGAGCAACAGTGGCTCTACCTACCACTACATCTTCCAATTCTTTCAATATCCAAGGAAATAGTACATTCGGATACCAGTGAATTCATTAAGAGGAGTGAGGTATTTTCTCATTCCCTTAGTTATACCGAGGATCAACTCTCCAATATCTTTATGGCCACATTTTTTAATTTAAAAAATGATCCCTCCTTATAGAAAAAAACAAAAAGCTGAAGCAGTTCTGCCTTTTTTTCTGCCATTACTTATCATTACATATACCAAAGAAGGGATCTCAACCCTTTTTTGAGCCTCTTCTTTTCCTGCATGAAGCATAAAAACAAAAAAGAAACACTCATTTTTTTTTTTTACTAGCCTCTGGTAATTCTGAATTCTACAGTGCCCTAATACTATTCTTACTTAACTGTGCATTACTTTTATAAGCATTATGTTACCTGTACCTTCTAAACATGCATTCTTAAAAATCTAGGTTGGTATATAACTGCCCTGTTTATAACTCTCTCTTCTACCTCAAATAACAGAAGAGAATATACCCTTTCCCCAAGATTCCTGGCATTTATTTCCCAGTTATTAGTACCTCCTTGTTGGAACCAGAATAGAGTCCCCTCATTGATTTCCTCTGCTTTTGAAAGGATGAAGTGATCAGTAGAGCAAATCAAGAGTTCCAACAGCTGTTTGGATAATTGAAGTTCCTCATCACTACTTAATCATGCCTTTGTGACATGCATATGACTTTTTGACAGACTTCGCAAATGCTTCATCTGTTTCCCCCTTCTGTCTTCTATGTGGTAGCAACAAGACACTTTAATCAAAATGGTTTTTGCCCCCAAATGGGGAGAGGGTTAAACAGCCAGGGCAGCTTAGTGGCACAGTGGATAGAATGTCAGACCTGGAGTCAGGAAGACATATTTCTGAGTTCAAATCTGGCCTCAGATAATAGCTGTGTGACCCTGGGCCAGTAATTTAATCCTGTGCCTCAGTTTCCTCATCTGTAAAATGGGCTGGAGAAGGAAATGGCAAACTACTCTAGTATCTTTGCCAAGAAGACCCCCAATGTGGTCACAAAGAGTCTGACATGACTGAAAATTATCAAACAATAACGTAGTCTTTAGCCATAAGAAATGATGAATATGAGTTTTATATATGTATATATATATATACATATATATACAGAGAGAGAGAATATATATGAGGATTTACCTATATGAGGAATATATATTATATATAATATGATCTATATTATACACGCATATACACACACACACATATGACTCCATCCAGTTGTTTGGAATAGTACATACCCATCCAGAACCATATTCTAGTCAGAGGTCTTATCCCACCAAGTCTCAGTGATTCTTATAACATAAAATTTACCTCTTTGCATTAGGATCTTTAGCTGATATTGTTTGACAGAGAACATGAATTTTATTGCTGTCAAAAATAAGTTATACTTATTATTATGAAGTAACCTTTCAGAAAAATATGTATGTTTTTCTTAATTAAAAAAAAAAACAAATTATCCTCAAGTAGAAACTAAGATTCTTCCTTTGGGTTTTACATTAACATTGTGCTTTACTTGATCTATGATTTTATGAAGTTTGTATTTTTTATATTGGCAAAGGAATATCATGCAGCATACATATATTATGATATATGTAAATGTCATTGTCAGATTATGCTTGGATTTTTTCTGTTAAATTGTTCTTTTTTAATGTAAAATGAAATGACTGAAATTCTATAACATTGGCATTTAAAAGTTTATGACAAGGTGCTAACTTTTATTTGTTATTTTAAAACGATTTGCTAACTTTATTAAAGGACAAGTACTATATTCTAAATCTTGTATTATTGCATTTTCAGAAAGATTTCTTTCTAATATTTGTAAGAAGGTGATTTAACTATCAGCCCATTGTCGAATGCTTATTATGGGTTCCAGATTACTGCAACAATGAAAGTGTTCTTATTCAAATGTGCATTAATGCATTCAGTTCTTAATAACAGCATTCATAGACATTTATAAATAGAAGAAGAAACAATTGTATGGTATGCTTGATATTCATCCTAAACACTTTTTGGCATTTCACTTTTAAATTCAGCAGTAATGTAACCAGTGAATTCGTAAGTTATTCAGGAACTTTTCTTAGCTTTGCATGAACAAGAAGTTTTGTTCTAACTATTGCAGAGACTATTTTAGCAACTGAGAAAAGTGAGTTTTTTTATAAAGTGTGCAATTTCAGGTCTATAATTGGAGAAATTCTGAAAATAGGGATAATATAGAGTTAACATATAATTTACATTAACTTGATTTTGCTAATATCCTTTTAAATTTTTTTCTCCCTAGATACACCATCAGTTAAGATTATACCATCTACTCCATTTCCACAAGAAGGACAGCCATTAGTTTTGACTTGTGAATCCAAAGGAAAACCCTTGTAAGTGACTTAATGAATAATTTATTAGATAAACTGCTTTAATTAAAGCATTTAACTGTGAAAAGCTACTTTTTTTTTTAATCTTTTCATAGTGTAAAAATTGATCTCAAAAACATAAAACCTTTTAAATCAAGACCTGATTAGGCATCTGTCTATGAGATGTTGGTCATTTGCTTTGTCATCTAGTGAATTCAGGGAAGAAATCCCAGAAGGAAAGGTTGTTTGTTTATTTATTTTTCAATTCAGTAAGATATTTTAACCTGAAAGGACTTTGGACTTAATTGGTTAACTGTTTGCATCATGAATTTGATGATGGGTGTGTGTTCATGAAGGTAATCCTCTCATTGAAAACTTTTCAAATTGCAAAACAGTCCAAATAGGTGCCAATTTTTAAGGTTCTTTCTGAATTTCTTTTCATTAGAAGAAAAACATTAGTAATATGGTGATTGTGAGACGAGTGAGCGTTAACCACCAGGACCTGAAAGAAGATCTGGGAGGCATCAATTAAACAAGGAAGCAAGTGATGTAGTAAAGACCCAGAGAGTTCTGGCTGTTTTTTTTTTCCTGTTCTTATAAACTCCACCTCCTATTCATAGCCAGAAATAGAAGAAATCACAAGTATGCTTTCCTTCAAGTCCTAGATCTCAAGGGAGGTCTGATTGTTGTAGGAAAACAAGACACAAAACATTACTACTGAAATTTGCCATACCTACAAATAAATAACTATAATGACTAAAATAACTTACTTTAAAATGTTTCTTTTTTCTGGCTGAAACAAAAACAAAAACAAAAAACGAGAAATGATTCTAATCAAACATCTGTTTTAATGACTTGCAGTGAATCAGTGAACTTAAAAAAAATTGTCACTTACCCAGAATCTCTTGATATATAAAATGAAATGGTGAGACTAAATCATCTTTTGAATCCCTTCCAGCTCAAAAATTATTATTTTTATGCTCACTTATATGTGTTCCTAAACATCTATCTTAAACTTATTCCCTGATAATGCTTATTTTCCATGTAAATCTTCAAATAATGAGGAGTCAGACTAATAGTAGACAAGAATGAATGGTAATCTTCAAGAGCTAGCTGTCATTTATGGAACTATTAGAAAAAGAAATGTATAATTGGTTCATATTTTAATTTAGATTTTAGTAGAATTGAATTGCCTTCTGAATATATCTCTTTATGGGCTAGCTTCTGTAATATTAAGATTAAACCATTATCTTTTTTTAGACTGTGCATTTGCTTCTAATGCAATGTAGGTTTTTCAAGTGATGAATTTTGCCTGACAAGATTTTTCAGGTTGTTGACTTGAAATTTTATGTTCCTCAGTTCTATTCTATCATTCAACAACTCTATAACATCTCTATAAAATTAAATCTATACTCTTTACCAGCCATTATTTATTATGGATGTAAATGTTAATAGTTAATATTGATAGTTCTTCAAAAATTAATCCATTAAACATGTTATTAGGGCAAACTGGTTTTCTTATACCTTGAATATGGGCCATTGTTGTCTCTTGTCTTAACATATACATCCTATATGAAACCTGAATATTCCCTGTCCCTTGAAAATCGTAAAAACATTTCTCAACTACAAATGCAATGTTTGCATAACGTAAATATATTTAATCATTATGTCATAAATCCCATTTTCTTTGGCCCTCTCTATAATACTTAAGAAGAAAAGGAAGGGAAGATAATGGCATTGTAGCTCTTCAATTGGAATCTTTAATTATATTTGCCCAGTTGTGAGTAAATCCTTAGTACTCCAAGTCTTTTAACATGAAAAAGGTGAAAATGGAGATGGACAAAATGGCAGTAGGAATTTCTGTCTAGATTTTTGAGGCTAAAAGGATAAATGAAGCTGTGTCAAAATGTCAATGTACTGGCAAGAGGCTTAAATGTCCTTCCTCAGCTCTAACATGTTGATACCATCCTCCTCTTTCTAGTCACTCAAGCTCAAAAACTTGTGTCACCTTCAATTACTTCCTCTCCCTTGCTCCCCTTCATCTAATTAGTTGCCAGTTTCTGTCAGTTTTCTAGCTAGAGTAGCTCTTCCATCCATTTCCTCATTGCTGTTCCTATTACAACCACCTTTGTTGGGTCCCTGTTGCCTCAGTTATCATAATGATATCCTGATTCTAGCACGTAGCTGCTAAAATCATTCTTCCTAATGCATAGATTTGGTCAAAAATCTTTTGTTCAAAAGGATTCCTTTGCTCAAAAATCTTCAGTACCTCCTTATTGCCTATTGGATAAAATACAAGCTACTGAGCCTGGCATTTAAGGCCTTCCTCAGTCTCGATCTAACTTTTCTTTTCAGCCTTACTTTGTACTACTATTACTGAGCACATGCATTTCTAACAAACTGCATTGGTAGCACTTGTCTTTTTCTACCATCTCTTAACACAGTACTCCTATGCCTGGAATACACTGCTTCTATTTGCCATTTCTCTATTGGGCCATAAGACCCTTGAGAAAAGGGATTATGTTTTTTTTTTATTATATATTTATGTACACACATACACACACACATACACACACATTGTTCCAGTGTCTACCACCTTCCAATTTGGGTGTGAGGAGGAAGTGTGTGTGTGTGTGTGTGTGTGTGTGTGTGTGTGTGTATGTGTAGCCATTAGACCTGTAATTTTATCTGTATAGGGAATTTACTGGTATAAAAAATCTGAAATATAGTAATATTTAAAAGGCAGGATTTGAACCTAAGTTCCTTCTCTCCCCAAGCCTGGCTCTCAAACTACTGCAACATACTGCTTTTGTCATTGCACAGAGTAAGCATTTAATGTGTGTTGAATCATTACTGAATTGCCAATTCTATCCCTATTACCCACCTCTCTTGGATTGTCTCTTCGTTATTTTTCTTCCTTCTCCTTATTCCCTCTGAGAAGTTAAAAAAAAAAATTGAACACATATCCATTTTGATGGCAACTACTCTTCAAAGCTAAATCCAGCCAGAAAAGATCTTTTCCCCAAAGAGAATGCAGTATCTTTAAGGGCAAGAACTGTGTCTTCTATTTCTTTTGTAACAATGTAATTCCCTTATTATAATTTGAAAAAAATTCATGTACTCACTAAATTCTTCCTAATTGATTATATGATACAAAAGAAAGAGGAGTGGTGTAGGGGTAAGAACACATGACTTCTGATCCAGCCTCTGCAAAGTATAAACTCTGGCAGTGGAAATGAGGGTCAGCTGTGGGAGAAGAACCCGTCTCTTATAAAGTACTTATTCCTTGACTCCTGGAGAGGAGGAGATTTGGATTTTTTTCCCCTCCCATTACTACTTCACACTTCATTGGCCATGAAATTTTTTATAGAGTTGGAGGCCATTGGAGAACACCATACGCAGCAAGTAGATGGTTTAGTAAGTCAAAGCGCAGGACCAGAGGAGCTCTTTGAATCGAGATTCAGTAGCCCTTGCCATCAGGATTTTAGGTAGCAGCATTGTTGTAAGAGCGGGAGTTGATCAGAAGAACCACGATCAGTGGATTTTCTCCCAGCCTAAGGGAGGAAATTACAATAAGTAAGAGGAAAAAATCATTAATCAAGGATTTCCTAAACATACATGTTCCCTACCCCCGTTTCTACAAAAAAGAATCTGACCAAGATATAGATAAAAGGAATGCCCCACAAACTGAATTGAAATTACCTTTTCAAATAAGGCAAATATTATCATAGGCAAATACTCCAGGTCGGCTATTACTACATTCGGACCTGCTTGCTCTTTTCTTGATTTTGGCACTTAGGGAAACAGGCTGAGGCAGCACAATGTGGCTCCATTTGTAAGTATACAGATCTCTTTCCCAGCTACCTTTATCCTCCTTCCTCCTGCTTCATTCTGATCAATTTCTAGTCTTCAAGTAAGGAACAGAGTTGGCCATTTATTTTCACCTCATGGCAGACTGTAGCCCCATCTGTAATCCATGAAAAATTTCTTCTTAACTATAAAATGCCAAAATCGGATTTCGTCCTTACCTTGATTTTAGATGGAATAGCCATATTGATAGCTTTGAAATAAATTACACGGTGATGTGTTTAGATGAGCTACTCTTGAGTTTCTAACCTGCCCTCCTAGATGCTAATGTTGTTTTGCTTGTTTTGAATGTGAGGACCCTAGTGACTGTTTATGAACAATCATGCCTTATTTGGCTGCTTTGGATTGAAGGCTTTTTGCTATTTTCCTGTGGAACAGCTGCAAAACTTGGTACAGGACCAAGTTGTTCCACTTGACACTGCTGCCGAGGCATGCTATTCTTTCATTAAAAGAGAGATTACTGTACATGTCTACCTATTGTTTTAATTTTGGTTTAAAGTGAGGATCAGGCTAATGCTAGCTACTTTTCTTGCATTTCTGCTTTCCTCTATCCACCTCCCTTTTTCCTCTCACTCTCCCAGAATAGCTTTTAGGTTGTTGCATTCATCCATTAAAAAAAAAAAGTACCTATATAATACATTTAAAAATCATGAACTTCTCTCCCCACAGTCCCCCACCTCAGACTTTGACATTTGCATAACCATTTGTCCAGAGAATTGTATTAAAGAATCAGCTTAAAGATTTTGTATTTGTAAATAGTAAGATTATGAAGAAATTTACTTCAAAACGCCATAGAGAACTCAGTGTTAAGTAAATACCTCAATATTTTGAGGTTCTTGTTTTGTTTTGGTGTGGGTGGTATCTTTGCTAACTTGGAGCAGGACCCTACTATGATTATTAGATGCCTTTTGAGATTTCCTGTGGCCAAAAATTTCCTCACCCTGCAGCCAGCCCAGTGATGAGGCTTCCTGAACTTAACAAAGCGGCACTTGGACAATGCACATACAGTCTGTCATTGGGCTTGTACCAGAAGCCTGATAGTGCCTGGCAGAACTTGTGGTCTGCTTGCAAAGCCTTTGAGAATATGAAAGTTCCATGATGAGAAATCAGAAAATGATTTTAATGGAAGTATAAGTAAATATTACATCTCAAATCTA